GTTTTGTTCCAGAATGCAACCTCAGCCTAATCAAACTCTCTAAGTTCTTGGAGAATTTATCCACCTAATGCAGCAATCTGTTGCAGAATTAGGGTATTCTTTAGTGACAGAACTACATTTTTTTTATAACTACAGTTTTTTATCCGGCAAACTCGTCAGTTGCCAGTTTCTTTAGTCTGTACTGTATACATCTTATGTTGTAAAATTGCCCTCGCTGTACAGTCTCTTATTGCCTTTTTTTAATCTTTTTTCTACTTGCCTGCTTCCATTTGCTTGTTATTTTGCTGTTGTTGAACTGTATTTTCTCCCACTGTGGGACAATATTTCTATTCAGTTCTATTCTGTTATTGCTTTTATCAAATTTTGTCTGCAAATTTTCATGTACACTTTAAGTTTCTTAAGTATTGATTCATTTATTTATCATTTTTATTGTATTTGATTAAATTTATTCAGACGAAAAAAATCTCCAGCTGAACAGCCTTGCAAATATTATCATTCTACCTAATAAATACAGTGAAAACAATGTAATTAAGACAGAATATAGCAGAAAACAAAGGCTATTAAATTTGAAGGCCACTGCTGTGCAGTCCCCCTGTCTTTTTTTTCTTCTGTTGTTTGAGGTAACAACAACTTACATGACATTATCTTCTTCCTGCTTGTCTCCCTATTAGGAAATAAAATTAGTTTAGGTGCCCAAAACCCAATTACTGGCTTAGATAGAACCTATCCGATGTGTCGTTCCATGTCTGTGTAAAAAGGTTGAGGAAAAAACATTGATTTAAGTGCCTCTTACTGAAAAGAGGTGGGAAAATCTGTGTGATATTCTTTTCTTGTGCCTGAAACTGGTCCTAGGACTTTGGTATGGAGAAAAACGGAGGTGTGTATGATTGGAATGGCAAAAATGCAGTGACAAGGCAATGCATGCCTTAGATATGTGTCATCTGTTAACAAAAAATGATAAAAACCGGTTTGGCATGAGTCTTTGGGAAAATGAATGCAGGACCTGGAAGGAAGGATTAAGTGAAACTATGTGACTCTAACCAGTTTGTGTAGGCAGATCCTATTGCTGTGTGTAGATTAAACTGCATGAAACCTACCATCCCCCAGGCCATCCTCTGTTTACACAGCACATATGCAACTTTCCCACAAAAACTACCAGCTCTTGATGTGTCTGTTTAGGCTATGCTTTATAATGAATTATCAATGCATTTAGTTCATTTGAAAGATGCCATGATAGTGACAGGAAAAGAGTGCGGCCAAGTACAGAGAGATCCTGGAAGAAAACCTCTTCCCGAGTACTCTGGACCTCAGACTTGGCTTAAGGTTCACCTTCCAAATATACAATGACCCTAAGCACACAGCCCTGACCTAAAAACAAATGAGCATCTCTGAAGAGACCTGAAAATGGCGGACCAACCATGCTCACCATCCAAACTGACAGAACTGGAGAGGATCTGCAAGCAAGAATGACAGAGGATCCTCAAGTCCAGGTGTGAAAAGCATCTTTTGGCATCACAGAATATCATTCCTACCTGTGGTCATCAACCTCTATAACGCCTCCCTCAAGTGATTCAGCCCCCCCCACCCCATAATTGACATTTATGCACTATTTTTGCACGCCAAGTATCACTCTACTTGGATTTATCACTTTACTTGGATTTTCACTTTATTTGGATTTAGTTTCTACATATGCATAGATATACGTACATTTATATATATACAGAAGAGCTATATGTGTTTATATTTTATCTCTTTTTGTTCCTATTTTTTAGCTTTATCATATTGTGTAGTTGGATGTGTGTATATATTATATAAAACTGTAACTGGAGCGTGTAACAAAAGTAATTTCCTTCTGGGATTATTAAAGTATTTCTGATTCTGATCTTGCATTATTCCCAAGAAGACTCATGGCTGTACCATCTCCAAAGGGTGCTTCTACTCAATACTGAGCAAAGAGTTTAAATCCATATGATGATTTGATATTTTAGTTCTTTTTTAATAAATTTACAAGAATTTCTACATTGCGGTTTTATTTCTGTTAAGACACCAATGAATTTAGCAAAAGGCTGCAATTATATATATATATATATGCAATTATATATATATATATATATATATATATATATATATATATATATATATATATATATATATATATATATATATATATATATATATATATATATATATATATATATATATATATATATATATATATATATATATATATATATATATATATAGGTGCCAGAGACTCCGTCATGGGAGGATAAGCCCCTACAAGGAATGTACCACCGAAACATAGTCGAAGTGGTAGATATCAGGAAACTCTTCCACTGGCTTAACAAAGCATTGGCTAAGAACACTTGTTGTTCTTTACTTAACTGTTTTTATCTTGCCATAATACAAATTCTATCAGCTGTGTATCCACCTGCACAACACAACTGATGGTCCCAACCTCATATATAAGGCAAGAAATCCCACTTATTAAACCTGACGGGGGACACCTGTGAAGTGAAAACCATTTCAGGTGACTACCTCTTGAAGCTCATCAAGAGAATGCCAAGAGTGTGTGAAGCAATAATCAAAGCAAAATGTGGCTATTTTGAGAAACTAAATTATTGGTAAAATTTGGTAAAATATATATATTGTTATATATATTAAAGACTTCATAAATGTAGTAATTAATGTCATGATCTTGGCGCTGATGACTGGTCTGGTTACTTATTTCTTTCACCTGCCCAGCTCCGCCCAGTTTTTATTACCTTTCATCTTATCCACCAGCTTTAGTCTCTTTAACCTGCCTGCTTCCAGTCATTAGTGCCAGATTATTCAAGCCTTTGGTGAGAGTTCTCTAGTATACCTGTATGTTTCTTATTGCCTTATCCTGACCTGTTCTGCATTGGTCCTCTAAACCTGCCTGTCCCCTTTTAAACTGTTTGCCTGACCTGTCTTTGGAGTCCTGCTGGATTCTGTGTGTTGACCAAACCTGGAACTGTTTCTTGACACCGTCCTGGATTTCCTTTCGTTACCTCTTCAGACGTCTGATCAAATGGTTCTGACTTCCGAGCATGACCTCTACACCAGCTTTGGCATTGTCCTCTGGATTATCCTGCCTTCCTTCATTTGCTCGAAATTTGATGTCTGCCTGTTCTCCGTCCTCCAGGAGTTCGGCATCTGGGACTCTCTGGGCGGTGCCCACCTGCATCTTGTTGGTAGCCAACTGGCTTGGACCAACCTCATTCTCTGGGCACAGACTGAACTATAAGAACATGTTAGTGACTCACGTTCATTATCATCGTCTGCCAGATAGATGTGGTTGCTAACCTTTGGTCTACTCTTGCAGGGGTTCCTGCCATAGAGGTTTTCCTCATGAGTCACGAGGGAAAATTGATCCTTCAGTCAGAACAGTCAACTTATGCTTAACACTTGTTGTGGTTTCTGGAATTTATTATTTTAGAGTGCTTTACAACAGCTATTTTTACTTGTTGTAGTAAGGTGTTATACTGTATGTGGTTCAACATTTGTTAATGCAATACATGACATTTTATTTAATTTACACTATTGGACCTCCCATGTTTTAAAGAGCAGCAGGCACCACTGATCTATATATATGACTAAACAGAAATAAGAAAGAACAGCAAAGTGGCCATTAAGTGTAGGAATTGATTGATTTTTAAAAAGTAAACATTTTTTCAGTAAAAAAAATTCAATCACATGCCACAGGATACATTAAGATGATGTTTAAAAAAAAAACACTGAAGCCTGGTTTGAACCAAGCACAAATCTATGCTCCTCATTTATAGCAGTTTGATTGGATTCATCTCTTAGTTCTCTGTGAAATGTGCAGAACATGCAGTTTGAGGACAAACTTGTGAAGCATAGGTCATTGCTGCTCCGGAATCCATGCATTTAATTCCATTTTAATAAGATGTCACTGTGGTAATTGAGCGTTGCATGAGCAGGGTTGCAATTCCATTGCCCTGTTAAGAATAACTAATAATTATCTTCCCCTGCCATTAAGCAGACTTAGGAGAATTGTATTTAAAATCACCAGTGTTGAGTCTGTCAAATTTTATTTAACCAGATTAAAGGTTAATAGTCTCTATATGAAATGATAGGATTTAGAAATTCTTTCAAATGTTCATCTTTTTTTTTCTTCCAACAAGAAGAATGTACCCTGAGTACACATGAACTGCTTCAAAGAGGTGAATCAATAGGTTTTGCTATTAAAATCTACTTCACCTTATTTTGAACCCAATATGTAGACTCAAGATCATGCTTCACTGTAATGTACATGTCAGGTTTAACAGGTCTGAAGGCAATTATCTGTAATCTAAATGCCTGCTTTGGCAATATTGGCAATACATTATTTGAGTGTGCAGTGTTTTGTCACACCATTCCACTGAGATAAGGGGATTTGGTGAAGAATTAGAAAATATTGCTTTAATATGAATTCAAACCAACATTTAAAATTGGTGTTATATGAACTAATATATGCATGATGTAGGCAACGTGGCTTCCCACATACAGTAAGGCATCACATATTGGTGGGCACCACATGCACCCTGGTTACAAACTATCTTCATGGTAATTAGATGTAAAGTAGGATCCATATCCCCTTAGATAAATTGAATTGTTTCTTTTTTATTGTTATTATTTGTAAACCATTTCAGAAACCAGTTAAAATTTAGATACTATATAATGGGTAACTGGGTCTATTAATATGGACCTACTCAGGGAACCAGAGTGAGTATACTGCACCCATCCAATCTGAGCAAAATCTATATTGGGGCCTACAACATCTTTTAGCTGAAAAGCTGGACATAAAAAATGGAGAAAGCCTGTACATGAAACTTTACATTTGTACTTTTAATCAAATAAAAAATAAAAACCTTTTCATAACAAATATGCTAAAACATTCAAAATTTTATTTTCCTACCTTAAACTGTTTTACCAAAGCAATAATCAGCAGCCAAATAATATTCTTGTATGGTCAATACCGTTTTTCTTTACTGGTAACATGGAGCCCTATTTTATTCCCACTGGTTACAATAAAACTCAATTTATGCTTCATATCCGTTCTCCAATAGCTCCACAATTTCCCATTTTTCACTCCGCTGGGCTATGTTCAGAGCTGTAGATCCAGAAGAGTCTTTCAGTGTGCGGTCTGCACCATTCATCAGCAGACCTTTAACAATGGACACACAGCCATGTTGGGCAGCCAGGTGTAAAGGTGTGGCATTTCCTGAGTTCACTACATTGACATCTGCCTGATGTGATATCAAGTGTAGGACACATGGGAAACTAACACTAGTACAGGCAACATGCAGGGGTGTCCATCCCTCACTGTCCTCTTTGATGTTTGGGTCCGCTTTTGCTGCCAGGAGCTTTGCCACTACCTCTGATTCGCTCTGGTGGCAGGCCAGGTGCAGTGGAGTCCATCCGTTTTGGCCTTTTACATTCACTGAACCACCTGTACTTTCCAGAGAGACCACCACAGAGTCGTGTCCTCTTAGGGCTGCCAGGTGCATGGGAGTCCACCCTTGGTCAGTCTTGGAGTTTGGGTTAGCTCCATTTGCCAGTAGCTGCCTGCAAATACCTGCATGGCCCTTCAAAGCAGCCAGATGAAGTGGAGTGTATCCCCTGATGTTTGAAATGTCAGTTTTGACCTCCTTAGTCAACAAGAGTCTTACTACACGATTATGGCCTTGCTCTGCTGCTAGATGAAGAGCAGTGGAAAAAAAATAGTCAGTAGCATCGGGATCAGCCCCCCGTCCAAGGAGAAGTTTGACTATGTTGAGGTGTCCATAGGAGCAGGCAAGATGGAGTGGTGTTCTTCCTTCATCCTCCTCTGGGGCGACAGTGGCGTCCTCCGACAGCCGCGAAAGTAGCAAGCGCACCACTGTTTCATGGCCATTCTGACATGCCAGATGAAGCGGCATCCAACCAGCCTTTTCTTGGGCATCAGCCTCAGCTCCTTTTTCTAGCAGCAGACGGATGGTTCTGTCGTCACCGTTTTGTGCAGCAAAATGCAAAGGTGTCCACTGGTCTTCGTCTCCTTGAGTTGCATCTGCTCCATGTTCCAGCAGCAAAGAGATGATGTCAGAAAACCTGGTGAAAAGAGAAATATTTTAACCTTTTTTCTGTATTGCGCTTTGTTGAACACAAATATTGACATGATTTATGAAAGAACAGCCAATAAAAGGCTACAACAGAGAGTCTTCTGTTTTTTGAGGGTTATAGATTGAAACTCATAAGGTATCTTGATTTAGTAAAAGGTGTATACAAAATGGTCCTTCAAGCTTTTATAAAGGCATGTCCAAATCTGAAGTTTAACATATACAGTATTTCAGTCATACTGCACCTTCTCTATACATATTCTAAGAAACTTCCAAGCACGATTTATTTTGTTTTTAAATTTTAAAAAGATAAAGCTAGTTGGAAGAATATGATCAATTACAAAATGAAGACAAACACAAGAAGGATGTTATAGGGCTTGACAGGTAAGTCCAAAATTATTTGTACACCTGGAAGATTAAGAATCAAAATAAGTCTCATTTAATTCAATTAAAGTTAATTCAGTTAATTCATTTTTCATCTCAAGGCACTTAACAGTTCACCAGATCATCCGGTCAAATTGTTTCCAAGTTTTCTAAGGAAAACCAGCTTATTGCATCAACTCACTGACTTGGAGGCAAACCCTCACACTAAGCATGCTTGTTACGACACTGGAGAGGAAAAACTCCCTTTTAACAGGAAGAAACCTCCGGCAGAACCAGGCTCAGTTTGAGCGGCCATCTGCCGAGGTCAGCTGTAAAAGGCGGCCCTGTCCAGGAAAAAACACAGCCAGGCAGACAAGCTCCGAGCCAGCTCCCATGTCAGAGGATGAAGAGAGAACATCCAGCCAGTCACAGTCAGAGAATCAGGACTACACTGAAAAATAGGCAGATCTCCAACATCTTTAAACTAAGGTGTTAATGGCAGCAGCACAGCTGATATTTCTCTCCAGGAGGGTGTCACGGCCAAACAGGAAGAACAAGAGGGAAAGCTACTATGAGAAAAAGCAGAGAGAGTATAACCTTAGAAATTGAACAAACAGATTCTGCAGGGTGGGAAAATAGAGATAGAATGAAGCAGAATGATGATGCTATAGACTTCTATATCCTCCAGAAGTCTATAGCAGCATAACTATAGAGATAGCTTGGGATATCCTGAGCTACGCTAACTATAAGCTTTATCAACAAGGAAAGTTTTGAGCCTATAGCCTATAGATCAAGCTGATAACTAAATGATCTGCATACCATTCTACTTTTAGAAATTATAGGAATCACTGGTAAATCTGCAGATTGAGACGAGGGCTCTGTTAGTAACATAGGGAACAATCATATCTCTGATATAAGATGGAGCTTGGCCATTAAAAGGCTTTATATGTGAGAAGGAGGATTTTAAATTCTATTCTTGATTTAACAGAAAGCCAATAAAGAGCAGCTAGGATAGGAGATATGAGATCTCTCTTTTTCATTTTCATCAGAACTCTAGCTGCAGCATTTTGGATCAGCTGAAGGCTTTTAACTACAGTTTGTGGATCTCCTAAACGCAAAGAATTACAATAGTCCAGCCTTGAAGTAACAAATGAATGGACTAGTTTCTCAGCATCACCCTGGAAAGGATATTTCTATTTTTTGCAATATTCCTCAGATTAAAGAATGGAATTCTAGAAACCTCTTTAATATGGGATTTAAATGACAGGCCCTGATCAAAAATAACTCCAAGATTTTGAACTTTATTATCTGAAATTAGTTGAATCCCATCCAAATGAAGTGTCTGACTAATCGACTTCTTTTTCAAAGACTCTGGTCCAAAGGCTATGACTTCTGTTTTGTCTGCATTCAGGAGCAGAAAGTTAAGAGTCATCCTGGTTTTTATGTGCTTACGACATGCCTGTAATTTATGTAATGGGTTAGCTTTATCTGGATTTATAGACACATATAGCTGAGTATCATCAGCATAACAGTGGAAATTAATCCCATGCTGTCTTATAACTCTACCGATTAGGAGCATATATAACGCAAAGAGAATTGGCCCTATCACTGATCCCTGTGGTACCCCACAGGCAACCTTTGAGCATGAAGAAGAGTTATCATTAAATTGAACAAACTGAAATCGGTCAGATAGATAAGATTTAAACCAGTCTAGTGCTGTGCTTTTAATTCCTACAAAATATTCAAGTCATCTAAAAGAATATTATAGTCAACTGTATCAAATGCAGCACTGAGATCCAACAGGACGAGCACAGATACAAGTCCATTATCTGGGGCCATGAAAATATCATTAACAACTTTGACCAGAGGTGTTTCAGTGCTATGACGAGCTCTAAAGCCAGACTGAAATCTTCAAAAAGTTCATAATGGTGTAAGTGGTCGCACAATTGTTTGGCAACTACTTTCTCAATAATTTTAGATAAAAAAGGAAGATTGGATATAGGTCTATAATTGACCAATTCATCTGGGTCAAGAGACGGTTTCTTAAATAAAGATAATAACAGCAACCTTAAAACCCTTGGCTACATATCCTGTAACAGGGATAGATTTATCACATCTAAAATGTAGGACTAGATCAAAGGGAATACCTCCTTAAATAATCTGGTTGGAACTGGATCTAACATACAAGTTGAAAGCTTAGATGGAGATGATAGTTTTGCTTACTCTGAAAGTTCCACTGGATCAAAGCAGTCTAAACCCGGTTCAGAATCTATGGCTACCTCAGATTCTGCCTCACCTTCCAGAGATAAACCAATCATAGTTAGAGGAGTGATAATGATCTTTTTAATAAGATCAATCTTAATTTAATCAATCTCATTTATAAAGAATCCCATAAAATCATTACTGCTAACAGAATGTGCAAAAAAACATTCAAACTAAGGGGAAATTAACAGAGACAAAAATACAAGAAGAAGACACAAAACAAAAATGCATAAGCCAAAGGGGTATATTGTAACTAAGAAAATAGTGAAAACCTGAAAAATAAAAAACTGTTGTGAAAGATAATTTCTTGGCCTTGTTTTCTAGCTATTCAAATGATAAGAAGTTTGAGAAGTAATCCTCCTGCTTGTTGTTTCATTACTTTTATTTATTGTTTATTATTAAATCTAAATTTTGCCCTTTTTCGGTTGTCTTCTTTTGATTAAGCAATCTTTTTTTTTTTTTTGCATTTTGCTGTAGTAAGAACATCCTTTCTGCATAAGAGCGTTATTTTAATTTTTTTTTTTTCCAAACAGAATAAAATGTGTAAAACATGATGAGTTTATTATTGTTCTTCCCAAAATGTTAATACATTCAAAACACAACAACAACTCTGCCTGCTCCACTCATAGAACACTTTGTGCTCAGATTTTCATACAGACCTTTGCAGAACAGCGATGATAAGGGGAGTGTAACCTCGAGCAGTTGTACAGTTCACTTCAGCACCCAGACTCAGGACATGCTTGACACTTTCTGCATCACCGCTGGCTACTGTGAAGTGAAGTAGGCTCTTTCGGCCTGAATACTGTGTCTGCACGTCCTCCCTTTTCACAGACTGCCTGAAACTACTGAAGTCCTTTTTGGATAGCATAGCGATAATGCCATACTTGCCATGTTGGTCATCTGTGAAAGGAAAACAAGGTACAGAAGTGCAGATCAGGCAATTGTAAAATAAAGTTGCAAAGAACTTTGCTCTCTTAAAGCTAACCTTTCTTATTTCATTACATAACTGCATGTTTGAAATACTACAGGGCGTGGCTTTGACAAGAAAGGAGAAGTTAGTAATTTGCCCTAAGGTGTTGTCTTTGTCTTGGAAGCTCAACTTCATGTATATTCGTAAACTTTACTTAAACTTAGTCCTACACACACAAATAAAACACTGACAAGTCCAAAGTCACTTTCTTAACATGCATTCTGGTTTGGTGACACTGGTAATACCTTCACAGATTACTGTTTGCTTTATTCTTCTTTTTTTTGCAAATAAATTGTTTCTAACATGAATAAGGCTGATTATGTGAGGTTATTAAAAGCAAATCAAAAAGATCAAACCTTTTCACAAGCTGTAAGTCAGAAGAGATTAAGTTATATTTATATGCCATATTTAACCTTATAGTGACATAACTTTTAAGTGACCCACATAAAATGAAAATGGCATGCATTTGTTCAACATGTTAAAGCTTAAATGAATTATAGTTCAAATAGTCTTCTAAGAGTTGCCTTATAAGTAAACATAGTCCAAGTATATGTGTCATTCTCAAATTGTGCTTTTCTGTGACGGCCTCAGAGGTTCCTTAGAGGATGTTAGTAGACAACTGGTATCATGATGACCAAGAAACACAGCAGGGAGTCCAGGGATCATGTTTAGATCAAAGCATTAGTTACATTATAGCATCAGTTATGCTATAAAAATATCTCAAGCTGTGAATATCTCACAGACCTCTGTTTTCATCAAAAAATGGAAAGAGGATGGCAGAGGTGCGTACTGTAGCTTCTCAGCAAAGAGAAGTAGAATACAGAGCACGTATATTGTAATGTTTCCACAATACACAAAATGTAGTTGTGTATAGTGGAAACACAAGGCATTACTCTGAACAAACCAATCAGTCCACCACAGAGATGGGAAGTAACGAAGTACAAATACTTCATTACTGTCCTCAAGTAGATTTTTCTGATATTTTTTTTACTTTACTTTTTATTTTTATGGCAACTTTTTACTTCTACTCCTTACATTTTTACACAAATCTCTGTACTTTCTACTCCTTACATTTTTAAAAACTGGCTCGTTACTTTAGTTTTGAATCATTTCAATGGAGTTACCATTATTATTTTTCCCGTCATCAATACCAAATTCAATCAAATTGGATGGGAATCTACGTTGCATTTGACGCACCACTACAAGATGAATCGAACGGTTTGGGTGGTATTCATTCGTGGCAAATCATTGTAGCTTGGTGGCGGTGGCGTTAGCATAGTAGTATGGACGACGAGATGATTGAAAATGAACACAACGGAGATCTAGTCCTATTGGCAGACATCCATTTAAAATGTGGGTAACGGCATGAAAAAAGTGGTTTCTACTTTTACTTTTATACTTTAAGTAAATTTACAAGCCTGTACTTTGTTACTTTTACTTGAGTAAAGAAGTTTAATCAGTATTTCCACTTTTACCAGAGTATTTTTTAACACAAGTATCTGTACTTTTACTCAAGTACGGAAAGTGAGTACTTTTGCCATCTCTGGTCCACCATGAAAACAACTAAAAATGGGTGCTCGCTGATTACACTGAGCTCAAGCAATATAGCTTAAGCTATCTAATATGTAACATTTTACAAATATCAGTTCTAGATGTTTTAGGCTTCATAGAGAAAAACAAAAAAGTCTGAAACCACTCTAAGACTATTCAACAATGTGTTTTGTGTTTTATGACAATGAAGCACCTTTGCACAGGTGTAGAACAGGGATTCATTAACTTACTATATTTAAGTGTCTGACCTTACCTGATGAAGTTTCAGATGATTTAGGTAAGGTGATCTGAAGAGGTAAAGATGAAAATGTATTAGGACTACATACTGCATACTTGTAAACTCACATTTTCAGTTAAACAAGGTTATTTTCACCTCATTGCAAAGCTAATGCATGGGTGGCTATGTTCTGGAAATAGAGCCTGTAACTCATGCAACAATCAACCTTTGAAATCAATACAAAATGCCTAACTCAGAATGTTGGAGCATTTTAGTCATTCATGACGGTAGCAGCTTTACTTGTACATCTAAAGGTACTTTGTTACATGGCAAAATTTATTAGAAAATCATCACCAAATATAAAACAACGTTTCATGAGGGTTCGTAGAGGAATTCTGAACAGTCACTGTCTATAATTCTATATTCTCAAATATATTGTCAGAAAATTAAGCGAAACATGACTGACATTATTAGGTCTGGAAGGCTATAGAATAAATGGAAAAGTTTTTTTTGCATGATTAAAAAAAATATATATTTTAGACAAGCGGAGATCACTTATACGGTGAAAATGTGGTAATAAAGAAACACTGGGAGGTGTTAGGAGAACACTAAGAGAAGCTAACAGAAGAAAGCTAAAAGGAAAAAAATGTAGATTGAAGCACATATTAGATACCATATAGCCTAGGTGAGTAAAAAAACATTGCAAACTAACTTTATGTACTGGAGACAACATCCAGGGATAAGTTGATCTCTGCTCAGTATCACAATTTCTTTGACAGGTGATTTGTCCTGGGATCTTTAGGACATCGTTCAGAGTCTCTGTTTTCCTCACAATGTCTGGAAAGATAAAGCAGCAATCACTGTTCAGACAATTAAAGACAAGATTCCTATTTAACAAGAACACTGTCTGCAACAAAATGGTGCTCCCTGACTTGTAACTCAAAACCCAGTGGGATTGTCAAACATTTGCTTCACTATGGGTTGTTCATGCATGGTTTAGCACTAAATTCAGTCACAGCTACGGTAATACAAGCCATGAGATCAGGGAATCATCACAAATGTGCAAATCAACTTTTTATAAATAAACATGACACTGATTTGTGTTCAGCAAAACAACCCCTGTAGATACGCAGATGTGCTCGTAAAACCTTATGGGAATGATTAAATCCAATTTTATGGGGTTTTTAAAATTGTCATTATTCATCCACAAGCGTTACCAAATGTTACTGCATGATACAGTTTCAGTCACCTTACACTGAACAAAAAGGAAAACATAAAATGCAGGAACATTGGGTTTTGGTAAAACTAACATAAATCACATAAAATGTATAAATTGTACATTTAATCATTTTGGCTTTTGCACCTGAGAATGGAGGCCTCATCTGAGGTTTCTTGTCCCAGCACTGTTTCATGATGGTGATCAGTTCATCACACTCCTGGGGCCTTTTCTCAGGAATTATCTCCAAACAGGGCCTCTTGCCTTTCGACACTTGCAGCAACACTTTGGTCATAACGCACCCTAAGACAGCAAAGTATGACTGACAGTTTAGTTCAGCTTATCCATAATAAGACCACTTCTCAATATAATACACCAACCATAACTGCAAGACACATAGAGCAACTGTAAAATAAAAATTTTTATTTTGCTTTTGTCATTTGCATAGCATTGGAGATCCATAATGCCTCTATGCCTGCAGGGAAATATGATTGTTTCTTGTTGCTAAACACCCCATGACCTTGCCTTTATGTTACACAAATATGTGATATGAGTTCTGCATTTACCAACTAGTGATTCTTTGACAGGTAAAGATTAGCAATTGCATATAATGGATAACGAACGACATAAATAATTGACCTTTTTAAGGACAACTCAAAAGGGCTTTCTGTTATTCACAACTCCTACTCTTTTCTGTTTTGATAAAGTTTGTTTTGTCATTGCAGTTTCCAGGTGTGGCACATAACAACCTTTTTCAAACCTTTTTATTTAGAAGCATTAATGGCAATTAAGACAAAACAGTGACAGTGAATGCAGATTTCTAACAATTCTCTGATTCGCATTTGTCATGATGATGCTTCCACTGCTCAGCGTAACACATTTAACATTTAACATTTAACAAACTAAAAATCATAGGAGAATGCAAAATATTGATTCCTGTTAGTTCAATATGAAAGCCAATTATATTTCATTCCAAACTGTACTTTTCATTATTAGCATTGCAAACAATGAGATCGCTCAGTATTTGTGATAAAATACTCAGCCCTACATAAAAATGACGGGTCCTCTTGTAAGCTGAATTGAACTTACAGATGTTTTAATCTGAAGCATGTTTAAATGTTCATATTTTTAACGTTTCTGATTTTAAATATTACATTTCTTTCAGTTTAAAAAAAATCATGTTCAAAAAGAAAAAGTATAATCTTATTTGATTTTACTAGCTTACCTGAATGCTCATGGTTTTTATTCTTCACTTTTTCAAAGCTAATTACTTATAGTACAACAGCAACGGAACATGAAAGAAAGAACAAAACCACTTAATTTTAATGTGTTTTTTTATGTTGCCATTTACAAGCACTGAATTACCAAATTCCTGTTCTTCCCATATTATATAAATCTAATATTTATTATTAATTATTTCCATTGTTAAGTTTGTTTTCCTCTTTAAATTATATCTCGGACTTTCCTCTAACAGTTTTTGTCTTTATTGTAATAGTAAAATAATATTTTTTCTGCCTCAAATCTTATCAGATCCATACATTTAATTAGATTCTGATCTTATAATCAGAGTTAATTCATGTAGTCTATATATATCCAGCATTATTCCATAATCTGATAGCTGTTTTTGGATGGGATCTAATATATGCTTATTACTTTTGTATGCACTACCCCCTGACTAAGTCAAATGATGTAAAATCAAGAGGTTCTCTCTCTCACTGTAGAGCATATTTCTAGAAAAAGACCAAAGCCTCCCAAAAAGTTATAGATGCCTTGAGTAGTTTAGGTTCACTTTAAAGCTAGATTCTACTTTAAGGTACAGTAGTTCTGAAGCATTCTGACTCAACTATTTGCTGTAAGATATCAGACGGTTTTGTACTTCATTGAATGTCCAGCAGCAGCGACATCCTTGTTCTGAAAAGATTATCAAGTATGCACTGCGCATTATATATCATTCCAATGTTTAATCAAGATCTTTAGTTCAATTAAATTGCATACATTAAATGATTAGAAGAGTAAAAATGTTGGCTTAGCTTTGGCATTACTTACAGTTTTTTTGTTTTTTTTGGTACCTAATTGGTTTATTACAAAGTATATCTACTTTAGGTTTAAAATATAAGCAGCAAATGATGGAATAAAACTGTTATCTAAACAGTTGACTTAATACTCAGGTTAACTACTGATCTGGAGCGCAGATAACATGTTCTTATATGCAATTTAATCCTACATCACTGCTAGTTTAACTTAACCCAGAAAGCCCTTTGCTTATGAAGCGAGAGCATTAAATCAGATAAAGCAAATTATAATTTAGTTAATACACCCACACACACAGCCTTTTAGCATTTAGCTCAGTGGATTAATACTTTGCAGGACAAAGTTTTGCTGCAGATAATTTCGTATGTCTCCACCAACTTATATCACAAAGAGATGTAAAAAAAAAAAAATCCCATTCTTCAGTGCAATTAGATCAAACTTATTCAGATGTGTAAGAGTGAATGTGACCATCATTAGTTGTTGCCACAGATTTGGATTTTGATCGAGGCATTCAAACACATAAATTGTATGTTTTAGTTGTCATGCTGAAAGGAAACAACTGCCAGATTTATACAAATTATTTTTTTTATTTGGAATTGGCTCGCTCTATATTAACATTAGTTCAGAGGAACAGTAATCTTGACAACATGATTCTTCCCGCCCCTAGTTTTACCATGGGTTTGTTCACTTTTGATAACTTTTTGTTTACTGCATGACTTATGATGTATTCCTCAAATAGAGCAGAGGATGTTTAAAAAGTCCTCTAGACTGCTTCTCATATTAATCCTCCTCTTGCCCCATCTGTCAGTCTAGATTGATCTGTTCTCCCTGAAATGCATAATTTCTTGTAGATTGTTTTATCATCTAAGACTGCATTAAAATTCTTAATGACTTCCTTCCTCACCTGCATGTTGTTTCATTTTATAGAACACCTGCATACACACAGAAATGAAATCAAACCCAACCAGACTCTGTTTACTTATAGGTTACTAATAAAGGTTGCTCAAGGCATGGTTTATTGATATTGGAACAAACGGAGTAGACTAGAAATGCAATAAACAACTTTTAGATTTCCTTTTCTTTCTACCTCTCTGATGCACCATATGCTAGCTTTTGTTTGTTTATCACATAGAATTTCAGTAAAATGCTTTAAGGTTTGTGGTCTCTGGGTAGATCATATTTGCTGGACTGACATGTTGGACTACACCAGTAAGATCTTTGAAGCCACAATGAATTTAAGCTTTAAAGACATGTTTTACTTTTAAATTGAACTTGTTAAAAGTTACATGACTCCCCGCTATAGCAACAGTAATAAATCTGTTTGATGTGGAGATGTGATTTATTTCAATTCATTAATTCCTACCTGCATAGGGTTTCTGCTGTGTCAGTATCTCCCACATCACAATCCCGAAGCTGCAGATCAAAGCAGAAAGAAGCTGTTCAGTGATCAAATTGTATTTACCATTTTAAGATTTCAGGGAATTTTGTGACCTTTACTATGTCACACAAAGGACACTGACAATCCCCCCGTCCTTCTTTCTGACACATCCAACAAAATAATTTTAAAAAAAGGGCACCACACCATGAATCAGATGGGAGAAAAATGCCGGATATCTCTTTGACTGGAAGATACCAGAAACATCCAGAATACAGAGGAGAAATAGTGTACGCTGTGTGAATGTTGGGTTGTGCACTGAATCAAAAAATGAAATACAGAGATTCTGATTGTGTCCTCTGAGAAAAGCCCCTTGCAGGTCACCTGTAAACATCAAAAGCAGTTCCTGGTGAATCAGAGCACTGGGTGAAGACTTCAGGAGGAATGTAATTTATGTTGCCTCGTGCTGTCAGGCGCTCCATCAACACAGTCTTGCTCATGCCATCTTCCCACTGGATTATACCATAATCTGAAATCTGAAGCAAGAAGAGCTGGATTTACTCATCAGCATTCATGACTATGTAATACGCAGGCAGGTATATCACTGACCTTGACATGAAGATGATCATCCAGTAGGATATTGGATGTCTTGAGGTTAAGATGCAGCAGCGGAGGTTTCATGCTGTGAAGGAAATTCATGCCCATGGAGATTTCATGAATCATCTGAAACTTCTTCTTCCACATAAAGTTGTGACTGGCAAGGAGATTGTTCAGGGATCCATTAGTCATGTACTCCATAACAACAGCATTGGCTTCGCTGCACACTCCATAGATGGACATAATGTATTTGAACTTTAGTTTTGCTATGTTAGATACTTCATCACTTATTTTCCTGTGACATAAAAAGAAAAAAAATCACCCATTATTTCAATGAACAAAATTCTGGTTTGATAATTAATCACTCTTGTAAGTTAAGTTCATACATCCCACTCAGAACCACTATATATATTTAGTTTTTATACATCCCATGAATGTTTAATGAGCCAGAGGTGGACAAGAACTATCTGAATTTTGAATATAGGAAGATTTATCCAATCTAAAACCATCTAGAGGGAGGTCATGCTATAAGATAAACATTTATGTCTGAGTTTCAGTGAGTTGACCAAGGCTGACTTCTTTGGTGCAAACTAATTAGAAAAGAGGCTCATAAACAAGTCAAAAGCCACAAAGCCCATCATAAAGTGGAGGATTATGTCACTGAATTCAAACTTTAAAAAATCCTTGTTAAACATATCATGACATCATTCTGCCATGGTAAAAGAATTGTTTATATATGAAACAGAAGCCTGAGAGTTTTCTCAACGTACATCTTACCTGTAAAAGTTGTTACCACACAAGGTTGCATCAAAGGTTTTCAATGCACATTTCTCCCGCCAGAGCTTCACTTTGACTTTGTACACCTGGCCAAATTTGCCTTCAGCCACCTTAATCCAATCTGCCTCAAAGTCATCCTTTTTGAAGTCCCTGAACTGTCCAGGGGATCTGTCACAGCAATCCATGAGTAGAAGGAAACACAGAATGTTCTTACCGTCCAATCCTACAGCGAAAAATTGTCTTAACCTTCAGATCCATCTATGCCAGTTAATCTACAGAAACCTGTGATTCATCCGGGGAACTGAAAGTTCACAACATACACGAGAGCTTTGACAGGTTACAGCTGGTTGCAGAGACAGTTTAGAGTTTTGAACTGTGGGAGGAGCTGAAGCTGAAAGCTTGTTTGTGTTGTAATGTCGCTTAACCAGTTTTCCTACCCTCAGGTTGCGTCAATGAACAGCTCTGTAATCTATTCAACCTAAACTTAAAATCTCTTCTCTTCAATAGTAAGATAACGTCGAACTGTCCCGAACATTCAGATTGAACAACAGCAGCAGGGCATCCATTCCAACCGCTAAGACAATATCTACACACTGTGTTTCAGGCGTGTATTTACAGTAAGTTAACTACCTAATGAACCGTGCACTTCCTTCTAAATGTACTTTAACAAGGCATTTAACCCCCAGCAGTCTCAGTGGTAAGCTTCAGTGCTTTCCAAGTTGAAGTTAAAGGAATGGCCATTTAGCTAACACCAGGGGTGTATTTATGGAACAGCAAGATACTTGACAACTGCTCTGAATAATGTAAAATTTAAGTTGTCTTATAAAATATATCTTATTAAGAACATTTTATTTATCAAACATGAATTAAGTCTGTCAGTATTTAAAGCTTTCTGTCATTCAGCCTCATTTGTCTCTTTCTATTGTAACTGTCGCATCTGTTTTTATGTATAGTGTAACCTATTCAGCAGGACTTTGGTCTTTTTAGTTTCCTGAGTCCTTGTATTCTGCATTATTTTAGAACAGCTTTGTTTACAGACGTCTTTTCTCAGATAACTCTTTCCAGTCTCTTCACGGATTGAACAATAACCTCAAAGCCAGCTGTTCTCTTTGAGATTAGAGAAACTATCAAAGCTTTCCTCAGCTGGAGTCCATACACAATCAAATGACTGCTGTTATAAGGCAAGGTTAGGTAAGGACAGCAGCTTTTGTATTTTAGCAGAAACTTTTGAAAGGTGCAGGTTAAAATAGTTTTTTAATCAAGTGATTACTGCTATTTCAAAGTATTCATATAAACAATGCCATGGATTTCCTCTGAATCTATTATTGTGATTAAAAAACTTCTACATCTACAGTTTTCCCTATTTATCTACAAAATAATAATTTTAACTGGTTGAAGCAGACAGAAACAGAAATATTACAGTTTTGCCTAAAGGACTAATATAGTTATAGCCTTGCTCATTTAGGTTGTTTAATGTCTTGATTAAATATTTGTTTATTCTCTTAAAAAACAGACTTTGCATTTAATCAGGCATGGCCCATGTTTACAGATGTTTGTGAGGGAAAATGGGTAAATGTAGCATTTCTGCAGGCACAGAGTGAATTATTTATCCAAAAGAAATAGGATTTTGATGAGTGAAACTTCATAATTGATGAGTGAAAGTTCATCATAATGTAGTGATAGAGAAAACACTTTTTTGTTTTGTTTTGACAAATATAGGGTAGGTTTGAAGTCCACTGTAGGTCTTTCTGCGTTTAAGGCTGGTCTGCTTTGTCTGTGGCAGTTTTTCATCCAGCACTGCCTTGCCTTTGCTTCACTCCATCTTAGTATCTTCTCTGGCTAGATTACCTGACCCTGCTGAGGAAACTGATGGGAATAATGTGTTGTGGTGATGTGAAAAGATCTCCCACATTGTCTACTTATCTCACTGCCTTCTTCCACATGTTTTCTTTGTCTGCTATGGCTTGTTATAAACTAAGATTCTTGTGGCTTTATTTCAACAAGTTATCTCTTACTGCTACTCTTTCCAAGGGCAGATTTATAACCTACATGACTCATATTTTTTGTGTCAATCAGTTTTCTAGAGTATCTACTGTATTTTACGTTTCCCAGAGCTGTGGATCTCTGCTGCTCTTCCAAGGTTGCTGTGGACTCTTTGTTGCCACCTGATGGTCAGGACTGAGTAGGATGTGCCATAATTTATTTATGGACATTTTATAACCTAACTCTTCTTTGTGCTTCTTCACAGCATTCTTCCTTACACTTCTGTAGTCTTCCTCATTTGTCGTGATGCTGTTTTGTTAATTGATGTTCTTGAACAAACCTCTAAGGTCTTCAGAAAAAGGTTGTATTCATACTGATATCAAATTATAACTCATTGGTTCATATTTTTCTTAGCTAACTTTTAAAAGCTAAAGGGATATCAGTATAATGTGAAGTCAACGTAAATTAATGTCAAACATCTGAATTATGTACAATAGTTGTGTTGGTCTATCATATGAAATGACAAATAAAAAATATTTAACTTCAAACATGTAATGTCTGAAACATAGGACATGTGTGAATACATTGTTAAAGCATCATAGTGAGTCCAAAATTTTCATCACCCCAAATTGTTTAAGAAATCTGGTGTTTAATAGAATTTATTTGAGGGAATTGTGGTAAACGGGAGGTCTTCAAATAAAATGAGAAAGAAAAATGCTCTGTGTTAACCTTCCTTTGTTTTAATTCCTACCTGCTTCTCCATTTGATATCAAACTATCGTTTACAACCTAATAATCTGGAGACATAAGGTCATATCACAGTATTAAGGCATATACATACCTTTTATGTAGAGAAAAATTGGGGGGGAATCCTTAGGGTTTCTTGCCATTTATGGAGATATTTAGCCCACAGGCTTCTTCATTTCTAGCAGTTATAGTATAATATACCTCCTGAGGAGCAAATAATGAAAACCTCTAAATTGTGCTTAGCCCACCTACACAGTACAATACTTATTTCTTTTTTTTTCTTTGTTCTTGTCATCCTCCAGGTTTCATACCCTGGTGATGTATATTTGATTTATTAGGATTTTGGTTTTATAACATGCCTGGTAAGTTAGCTCCAGGTCCAGATGGCTCTTTCATTTCTTCCCCTTGTACACATGCTTTGAGCTGGATCTCTGTTCATGCTTGAATTTTTAAGGCATGGTTAGAAGCTCAGATTTAATAAATTGGCTTCAATAGTATCACAGCCTTTTTTTTTAGTATTCTATAGAGCAGCAGTGCCTGGATTATTCTGTGAAATGCCTGCTGCAAACCAAAAACCAAAATGTGTAAATGCATTACTAAAGGGCTTTATTTAATTGAAGATTGCTGATTACTTCAACACACTAAAACAACTAATGGTAACTTTAAAAACCCTTGAAAAAAATTAAATAAGACATGAACAAAAAAAGATGCTTCAAAAAAATCTATTTGGTTCAGAGTATTTCTCTGCACAGACACACAACCACGAACGTTCAAAACAATACATACTAATTACAAGCCATATTTACATTGTTTTGTCTTTATTAATCAACACTCCCAAAGAGAAAATCAACGCCAGGCTGAATAATGAACTATCAAGCCCACAACCTTTCAAGTCGCCTAATTTATGAAAGGAGGTGGTGAAAAATGAATTTAACATTCACTGACAGCCATAGTTTCATGCTTCACTAACTCCCATTATTATTTAGGACAGACCCGTGGATTGATGCTCCAATGAAAACCAGGAAGTCGTGATCAGATTTCTGATAGGCTACCTGAGGGGAGAAGTCTGTCTCCAGTGATGGAAGCTTGCAGGGCCAGCCAATCATATTAGCAGGCTACACTACAACAACTAATCTGACTGGTTAGAGCTAAAGGTCTTTTCTATTGCCCCATATGTCCTCTAACACCTTAACTCAAGCCTCTTAATCACAGATGTGGGCAAACATAAGTAAATCACAACCAGATCGTAAAGGGCAATGCTTTTTTGTTTTCCCTCGATCAAAGTGTGTCAGGGACTCACTTTTGAGCTTTTATTTGCCCTTTCCTTAACTCCCAAAACATTTTTGGTGAAATCTTGGCACATCTATTTTAGGTGGGAAATATGCAGTGAACAGCAATAACATCCACTCAAGGAGGCTGTTGTGTGATTTAGATCCAATTAGAATACCAACCCTATTTAGCATAATTAAAATAAAAGCAAGACCATCTGCTTCCATAAGTACCCTAATTAGTGCTCTAAGTAGAGTGAGATAGCCTCAGACATAAGTGATCAAACAGCATCATGAAGACCAGGGAAAATACCAGACAGGGCAGAGTTAAAGTTGTGAAAAAGTTTTAAGAAGGAGCAGAGTATGACAAATTATTCCATACTTTAAAATCTCACTTTTCAAATCAATCCATCATCTGAAAGAATAAATGTGAAACAATAAAGCAGTTCTACCTGAACTGCCAAACAGGGAGAAGGAGAGCATTGATCACAAAAGCTGTCCAAAGCTCCACATTAAAGAAGTGGCAGATCTCCAAACTTCAGGGGGGAAAAAATCTATATCTATCACAGCTATTAGTCTTTCACATATCTGGTCTTTATGAAGGAAAATCATGATGAAAGACACTCTTCAAAGAGACACAGCAAACATGTGGAGCTTGGCTTATATTCTAATCTCTACGTGTCACAGAATATGAACACTGCTCATCCCCTTGGATGTAAAATGCTCACAATACAACACAGCTGTGGCAACAACCTGCTATCTGAATATATTCAATTCAATTCAATTCAGTTTATTTATATAGCGCCAAATTCACAACACATGTCATCTCAAGGCACTTTACAGTTCAACCAGATCATACAGTCAAATTGATACAAAGTATTCTGTCTAAGGAAAACCAGTTGATTGCATCGACTCATTGACTCAAATACAATCCCTCACACTAAGCATGCTTGTAGCGTCAGTGGAGAGGAAAAACTCCCTTTTAACAGGAAGAAACCTCCAGCAGAACCAGGCTCAGTGTGAGCGGCCATCTGCCAAGGCCGACTGGGGTTCAAGGAGATAATAATATATAAATGGAGATAATTATAAAATGCCTTGTGTTACCTACCACAAAATATCGAAAAGGAATATATTGATGTTTGTCGTTTTCAGAATGAGGGATCACTGAAAATCTAATGCTATTGAATATCTTTATATTATTTAGCATTGCATGAATAATCTGAACTGAGACGTCTCAGGCACTGCTGAGTAAACAGAAAGCTGCTGAACAAGTCTTTCAAGTATCCAGAATGCAGGTAAAGTATAAGACCACGAGTCTATGGTAACATAAAAAACACTGACAGTAGATAACCTTTTG